GGGGGGGGGGGGGTTCCTTCCCAAATTGCAACTTTCTTTGATCTTTCTTCGTGTTTTATGCACGATCGGCACGCGTTTTAATTTTCATCGCGACTTCTTTTGTTTCGACCGAAGATCTTTCTTGGAAGATTTGTTCCTTTTTATGAAATACATTAATTAAGGAAAGTAGAAGAAGTAATAAGAAAATTAAGAAGAATGCAGTACTAATAGAAACGCGGTAAAATACGAAATGCTGAGAAATATGAACGTGTAGTGCCAATAACAAAGAACTAGAAGAAATAGGAAAGGCAACAATAGATACTGATGATTCTATGAAATCTAATAAAATAAATTATTGCGATCCTGGCGGTCCTTAGGATTGGCGTCTTACTGCATTGGCTTTGTCAGCCGTTTTTGATTATTCATGTCAACTAAACAGAAACCAAAAGCTTAAGTGCGGCCTCATCCATTAGCCAGACTCTGACTCTTCACCTTACACGATGACCAAGGGATGATGAAAGGCATTCCTCGCGTTGTACCATAATCTCTTTTGGCCTTTGACTCCTGTTCTACGAGCAATTTTGTTACCGAAGCACTTATAGTAAACACGAGTGGAGCGATATTTGTTGGAATCCTAGACTTACAGATAAATGCCGAATAAATTGATTTTTGAATACGTAAAATATAACAGAACGGTAAAAATGATAAAATGTTAAATACAATAAATTATAAAGAATCAGAAATTGTAAAAGTCCCGAAGATCTTATAAATTCAATTAATCAAGTAATCTAGATAATTTAGTAATTTTTGATCATTGGATTTTTCGACTAATTACATTCTGGTACTTTAGTTCTTTATAATTTTTAAGAAATAAGTAGTTATTTCATTTGTAAATAAGGTTCGGTAGAATCGTGGTGCAATTAATCACATTTAAGAACGTTTAATACCAAGGTTATTTCCACATTTTACTTTGAATTCTAGATATCTCCTGAAACGCATTTCCTGTGTTCTCCGCAACTGTTCCCCAAACTGGTTGGCTCAAGATTTACCGCGTTCCGCGGGAATAAATATATTACATTTGATTGAAAGTACACGTTGCAGCGAACACACGTTCATGCATTACACGTGAGATTGAATTTTACCTCTCCCTTCCTTCAGATTTTCCGAAATCAACCAATGATATCTGTAAGATTAAAGAATCGTAGGGGAATGTAGCTACTCGAGAATCCCATTATATGATATTTTCCCATCGTAAAATTGATCTCTGATAGAACAAACACCAAACGAAAGAACGAACTGTGTAGATAAGTGTACATAACATGTAACTAACTGTGTACATAACCTGTTATGTACGTATAATATCTAATATTTTGTTATATTCACATCTAAATTTTGTCTGTACGATTATTTTATTAATTTGCCAAACCAATAATTAATTTAACCTCCGAGCTAATAATTACATTGATTTGCCAACTGATATGTAATTAAATCACAAAATTCCTTTCTTTCATCTGTAAGATGCGAACGCCTAAAAGATAATTCTGAAGATAATTCTTTCCAGGCGTTTATCTGCACCTTCAATGATCATTTCTAGTTTCCAGAATTTCCAAGCATGAAATTGAAATTTTTCTATGTTGCCTCAATGGATTAATTATAACGTGTTGTACATAAAATAGAAAGAAAGATGCGCTAGCATATAGCTGATAAAAATCTCTGTTTATCAATCATTTTATATGTTTAATATACAGCATTTTATTTTGAATTAATATACATACTTCTCCAGATCCTATTTTGAACGATTGGATTGCCACTCAGTCGCCATCCTTATGAATAAACAGTGACGATAAAATTAATTGAAACATTTGAATTAAATAAACAGTCATATATCTGTAAAATTTTCAATACCTTCAACGTTTGCAATATCGATATTCTACGAATAAAAGTATAAAAACAAAATGATCTCTATCTTACGAGTAGCAGATTTTCTCTCGAAGCAGAACATTTGCATCGTGCTTGCACGCGTATATGCCACTTGCGCGCGATCGGTTATGGTAATCACGGGCCTAAGTTCGTCTCGGTCTAATTCTGCTAATTTATCACTGTGGCCAGGTTTACGATCCCGCACATCGCGTGCATCTTCGCAGGCTACACGTTTTGTCGCGGAAAATACGATAATAACTCAACTTCACCCAGCTGTTCTCCAAGCAACGGTAATGAAACTGTAACTTCAGCCACGTCATTTCTTCCCGCCGTCACATTCTCAACGTGAACAATTATTTACTCGTTGCGTGGCGGCTAATGCGACTCACGCTCGAACGTCGTTCTTTTGGGAGATTACAAATCGAGCTCGAGTCAGAAACACGCTACGCACGATCTTCTTTCGACCAGTGATCATTTTTATGGACACCATGGGATGACGATGATCGCCTTCGTTAAGTCGAATGTGACCTAAATCATCTGGAGTTAGGGTTTCTTATGTTGCCAGATTTATGCGCGAATGTGTCATTCGTTGGTGAAAAAATAGGTTAGTTAACCAAATAACAGACTATAGCTCATTTATTACGCACTTTTATATTTGTACGAGCATAATTAAAGAAATAGAATCGAAGTAAAATATATTCTATGTATGAATACTGAGAGTCGATTTGCCGAATGAAACACGTGCAGTGATACATCGGTCATACAATAAGCAACTCACTTAACTATCGTAGTTTCGAACTCGCGCAACAGGACATCGAAGTTTCCAAACGTTTCCCTTCCTCCCTCATTTCCATCTTTATTGAAAATTTCAACCGGCTCCCCGGGACATCGTCCATTTCCGGCCAATCTTCTACACAGCCGAAAGAATGCGAAAGAAGTCCCTTTTTAGGAGAAAAAGGACATCCTTTCATAATTACAAGGATCTACAATGACGTCCACTATTATTCAACGATCAAGAGTATCAAACTGAGACTGTTTTCTATTGATTAGTTAGTCTCTTCCTTTTAAGTTTCTAATGTTTAAATATTACAATAGTCATAGCCTAAATCCCAAATTCGTAATCCATTATTAATTCTACAAACCTAAATTTTACTAAACAAATGGAATGGTCTATTATATTACTTGCATAGCCTAATCTGTTAATTCACCACCCAAAGATATTAATCTATCAATCTAAATATACATGTAAATCCATCAATCTAACTAAAGCGCCAAATCATTATTGTCGCATCAATCATACGGCTAACAAATACCTATATGAGGCTCCGCAACATAACCATAACCATAACCATAATAACCATAATGCTAAGTTAATTTAATGATTATGGATGCGCATGCAAACGTATATTCTCATAAAGACAATTAGCTAAAAGAGCCTAACTACGGATTTTTTTCATTATATAAGTGATATAACGAGTGTCTTTAAATATTTTATACTTTGATGCGTGTTATGCAGATTCTATACAACTTCGAACATTTCGGAATTTCTCATAAATGAGAACATCTCTTCCGTCTATAATATCAAAATCATATAAACTATCAAATATCAGCGCTATCTAATATCAAAAGGGAAGGAATATCATTAATATTAATTACAGTAGCCTAAATCTTCGCCGCTACCACAGACATATATATTCTCGGGAAGTTCTATTTCTCAAATTACTGTGTTATAAAAATATATAACCTTTTCGGTTAATCGCACATTCTAGTTGAAGTAAATTGAAAATATGTCAACGCTGGGATCATTAAAATTCCCCATTAGTCCATGATACCAAAATAAAAATTCAAAATCCCCTCTAAACTGGACGATTCATAATCAATGGTTAACCTTTATCCGAGTTCCTGCTTCATCCTAGAGCCAGCATCATTCAAGGTGTCATAAAGTCACTTGAGCAAACGCTCCATACTCCCCGGAGACAAGATCGAATTTCCTCGATCCGATTTCCGTCACATTAGTCGGATTTCTTCGACTCGTAGCAGGAGACGTTGGTTTTCCGCGTGCAACCGTGTATGAGCAAGACTTGCTAGGACTTCATGCATCCATTACCCTTTCACGAGTCCATTTACCTCGAGGGAAAACGTTACGGAAGCTTCAGGGATGGTACACCGTCGATTTTGACGACCGATGCATCGTCAACGAGCGTACGGTCGCTAGTTTAACCTCTCCATCTGCTGCGCCTTTGCGGTAGCACAATTTTCAAACCGACTTTTCCATAAATTAGAAGCCTGTAACCTCGTGTGTGCGCTTCGTGCTTACTTTTGTATACAGAACAGGGTACGAGGTTTCGTGTTCTTGAAACGAACGCACGGCTCGTTTGAAATTCGACGGGAGGGATGCAATCGATAACTGTGGCAACGTTATCTTGCTGGTAGTAATGTTGAACCTCGATGTTTGCTAATTTAGTGGGAAACCTGCAATCGCCTGCAACGTTTGTAATTGCGTGAATGTCGATCGAGCGATGTGATGGTCGCTTGAAAATGGCCGACGTCTGTCTAGCCAAGGATTACTTGCTCCCCTTTCTTCCCTTCTCTTATTTTTTTTTTCTTTGCTTTTTCTTTTACTTGAAAAACCTTATTTAGAAGTGGTTTTAGTTTTAAATTGGATTGATTAATAAGTTTGAAATTACCTTGTTCGAGGGAGAGTTTCCGAAGTTTCGTTGAACGAGAAAAGGTGTAGGTAGAAGATTGAAAAAATGCAGGTATTTAAATTATATATATATGTCGGAGATGAAAGGACACCGGGGCCTTCTTTTGGAATTCTTCGAAAACCCACAATACTTTAGCCTCTATAACTTAACTCGATTATAATTGTTCGCGAGTTGTGATAATGACCTTGGTTCGAAGCGACAGCCAGTCGCCGAACGTAGCCGCGGTCAACGGATGGACGTTTTGTCTAACAAAGGTATGGAGTAATAGTATAGCTCTTCTTAAATAAAAATAGTTATAGCGGCACTCAACAGTAAACATTCCAACGGTTTCTGTCCCGTGGCTCGCCACACGCGGACCCTATTCTTCGGGTAAGATTTTTTTTTTTATTTAGTTATTAATATTTACAATCAATTATCGCATTGAGAATTTTCAGTAATCTTCGGGTAAGATGATTACCAGATGTCGACGCATCTCCACAGTACATGTTCAGCTAACCTGAGGACCCGTTAAAAATCTTACGATTTAATTAACTAAAGTCATTCAAACAAATAAACAGTCTTTGTCCCAACTACGGGAAGATAGGGGAAATCTATTTTTCTCACGAACGACGCTTCCAACTAGCAACATTCCCCCAAGGGCGGCTAGCATCCTTCTCTAACTACCAACATGGAAATTGACCAATTAACAGCAACGTCAATTTCCCTCACTTTCCGAACGAAAGCTTTCCTCGACGAATAACGAAGGCTTTTCTCGGCGAATCCGATGATCTCGTGTCCTTAGACATACCCCATCATAGTTTTCCTCCGCAGCATCATCGCGACAGAAAGTCATTCTCTCGTGAGGTCGTATTAGCGAGTTACTTAGCGTCTTTGCGCTCGGTGGATATTCCACGTTTTAACAGAGTTCGTTTAGTAATACTTGTACCGTAGACAAGTAAGTCGAGTACTGCTTGGGCTTTGGAAGAAAGCGCATTCATTAATGCGCATTCTCGTTGACCGCGGATTCATTATTGAACCTAGGATCATTGTCATTAGCTTCTCGAGTATCTAATTACCACGGTTACTTGTCAAATTCTGCAATAATCGTATTTGCACTAGTCAATGTCTTCTCTATTGCATAACAACAATGTGTAATCCAAATGAAGATTTGTGTCACGCCCCTAACCCTAATCATAATGTGAACCCGACATATATGTCGTTCAATGAGGTTTTATATGAGGTTCAATGAGGTTTATATTTACAATTATATGTACAAGTGTCGATTTAACAGGGTTTAACAATTTAACGTGGTTACTAGACACTCTTAAAGTAAAGACAATGTTCTTAGGTTCAAACGAATCCACGGTCAACGAGAAAACTCCTTGTACAATTGAATATGTTTTGAAACTCAAAGTGACGTTAGCTGTGACGTACGGTATCTTTCTGACTGACAGACCAGACGTTGTGTGTAAATTCTCCAAGATGATCACAAGAATAAGAGACTAATACGATCACATTTGTCAATTGCATATTGATCGGGGTTATCAACAAAATTCCAGGCGCCGTAACTAGGCAGACCGCGTAGAGCCGTCATTGCTCCTGTTTGGAGCTTGTTTTGCTTGTTTGTTAATACAGCGTGTGTCCCTCAATATTGATACTTCTACTGTTAAGTAAAAACGTTCATCTCGTGACCGTTTTTTTTTTTTTTTTTATTTAATATTTCACATTGACAATTTATCCAATTTGGACATTTGGTAGAATTTTTTGGCTGTTTGATTATCATGTGGGTGGCTACCCCCAGCGGGATACCATCTCCGTGTTTGTTAGGTTATATCCTCCCCGTGACCGTGGCTACGCTCGGCGACCAGTTGTGTCACCTCGAGCGTGGCTACGCTCGGCGACCAGTTGTGTCGCCTCGAGC